TGCATTCGATTCACAGAGCATCCATACCCAAACCATCATAACGTCCGTGCTCTAATTGCATTCGATCCACAGAGTATCCATGCCCAAACCATAATAACGTCCGTGTTCCAAGAGCATACGGTGAGTAGAGTATCCATGCCCAAGCCATAACAACGTCCGTGTTCTTATCGCATTCGATTCACGGAGCATACGTCCGCTTCTTGTTCCGATTTCCTGAGTTTCTCTGCGTATATAATGTTGTTGTTTTGGAGCTTCAGCCCATGGGTGGGGTTGACGAGTGCTCAGCTTTTGGACATTGCGCTGGAAAGCTTCATGTTCATGCTTAGAGGAAGGACAAGTTGCAACCGGGTGTCCGTAGGTCAGGGGGGGTTAGGTTTGGTTCAAGGTTTTGCGCAGGGGCGTCTTGGGCCCCGTTCAGGGTTGGTTTCAGGCGTGGGCTGTTGTATGCCAAGAGCTTTGCCAACCGGCGCAAGAGTCGCCCTGAACTTTGGTCTATGGGCAAGCCGCTGGCAGCGCGCGCAAACGGCAGGTGAAAACATTTTTGTGCAGACGTCCTTCTCGCTGCGCACCAGAATCCATTGTATAATGCAGTACATCGCGCACATCACAAGCAGGAATAGTGGAAATACCAGTCGATTTGGCTCATGCCTTTCACCTACACGTTTTGGACGCGCGCTCGAAACCACCATGAAGCGCATTTTTGCATTTACACTTCCCGAGTGCGACGTGCTGACACTGCGCGGTCGCTAACCACGACGGTACCTGGTTTTGAGGTGTAGAGTTCAGGAGACCCGTCATCCCTTCAGTGTTTCAAGCCCTCGGTTCTAACTGGTGCAAGGTTCAGAGGGGGTACTATGGTTTAGGATTCACGATTTCGGTTTTAAGGTTTAGGGTTAGACAATATTTCAGGGATCCACTCCTTCAATCCTAGGGAGCAAGGTTCATGGTTAGCAACCTGATTTGAGACTCCAAATCCTTAGCGTAAGCGTGGGGCAGTTTTTCAGGGTACCTGTGGGTAATTAAAGTCAGCAAAGGGCTTGTTAAAGCAACCGTTACAGCAAGGAGCATGATTCTCACTTAAATTCCAAACCCTGAACTCCAAACTTGCGCTGAACCCTAAGCCCTAAATCCCAAAACAAACTGAATTCTAACCCTTAAACCCTGCACCTTGAGCCCTTAAGCGGAAGAGGCTTCACGGCTACGCGAGGGCACCGAGAAGGTCTTCGCAACGCTGGAGTGTGCCATTACCAGGCACGTCTTCCTGAAATTTCAAAACAGGCCTGCCCTAGAAGCCTTTGGGCTATTTAGGGGACATAAGAGGAGTGTAGAGTTTATCTATTGGGGAAGATATAAAGGACATTTCGAGCATCTCTTTTATGCGGGGACTTAAGATGAGGACCCAAGAACCTGAGGTCTGGGGATAGAAGCTCTACAAAATCCGCTTTGTTCCTTCTCGTGCATGTGGGGATTTCCAAGGGCTGGGGCTACTGTTGGTGGGCTATGAACGCGGACCCCCCCCATTTAGGGACACGTCCACATGCATATATTCCGTAGTTCTTAAGTGGGATCCATAACTCTCCTAAGCCCTAAAACCCTAAACCCTAAATTCTGAAGGGTGCCCCAAATTCCTTAATTTCAAAATTTCAATTTTTCAAGTTTTAAGATTGTAAAACCAAAATGACGCCCCCAAACCCTAAGTAATTGTAATAAACTGGGATCCATAACTGTCAGAGTTTCCTTGAGGTGGGGTTCCAGGCGTGCTGTGACGATCGAAATCTCAGCAACTGGGGAGCTAAAGGACTATTGGACGGTCATTCTGACTGCTGCGGCTTTGCTTGTTTTGCTTGAGGGTGCGGATTTAGGACTTTAGTAGGATATGGGTTGGGGCTTTAGCGACATGGGAGGAGCTCGTGGGGATCGTGCAAGCAGCTATTTGGGGATTTTGCCATTCTTATCGATCGAATTGCGTATGCCTTTTTAGTTAGAAGAAGAGCTCAAGCAGCTACACACGCTATAAGCGCATAGTCCTCATCCGGTAGCGGTCATCCAAGACTCCCATTCCAGTCATTTAGGTTTGTCCCGTGCTGCCTCAGAATCAGGGGTCTGTTGTGCTCCTCACGGGTGCAGCGCTATTCCTCTGGCGTCGGCACAAGCTCATCCAGCAACTGGTTTAGTATTAAGGAACTTTAGTTTAGTTACCACCGCAAGGAAACCGTTGTGTGTATTGTACATCCATGATATACCCAAAATCCTGCATGACCTTCGTATCATAATTCCTAGAGTACATTATGTTTAGGGTCATGCAGGACTTTTTTGTATCAGCAGCCCGAACCCTTTAGTCTAAGTTCCTTAACAGCAACGAAGGCAGGAGGAGGAGCGACGAAGCTTGGGTTTGGCAATTTAGGGTGTAGGGTGGGTCGAATCACTTGTACGATGCAATCCCCCTGTCAGCAGGGGGGGGCAATGTCTATGCGGAGGGGGCAGAGATTGAACCCTAAACCCTAAAGGTTCGAAGAAATCCATTGGAACATGTCCAGGGTTTGCAGGGTCATACCGAATACTATAGGCATGGTTTGTTTTTTCTTTGGAGCTTTGCATCCTGGCTTTAGGGTTGTAGGGTGTAGTGCTCAACGCCCCAAAGACGGGTGAAGAGCTCTCCACCGCCCCAAGTGATAATGTAGAAGCCTGAGTATTTGCCAATATTTTGGTCTCAGATTCCTGATATGAATGTGGTATAAGGTACTTCAGACAGACCTCGAAATGATGTTGGTAATCATGCAGGCTTCTAAATTACCTCGTTCTGCGGAACCGAACGTGGCACCAATAGATTCGAAAAGACCGGCGGGGGGTTCTGCGGAGAGTTTGTAGGCGTCATCATGTTCAGGGTAGACCAGGTTTGAGCTGGGTTGTGATTCATCTGGTTGGCAAAAACTCACAAGACTCGAAAGCCTCCGCACCGAAGGAGTAGAAGCTGACATCATAAACCCTTAGCAGGGATTTTCAAAAGTCCTGATAATCGTTACATATGAGCTATGGTCTAAACTCCTAGTATCCCCTTTAAGAACTCGTATAATTGTCGCTTACAAAATCCCCGAAAAAACTCCCCATTGAGGAGTTTATGGCTGCATATGCCTAGACGGTCCCCAGAGCACCCCCCCAAAAACTGAAAGACTCGAGCATTGTGAGTTGCCAAAAGGTGGGGCGAGGCAGCTGCCCTTGGAATAAAGGGAGTCCCCCGGAAGAGTTGTATAGGGGTACAAAGAGCCTGGTTGTGGCTCGTCCTCTTCATTGTGACGTTGCATTTTTGAATTTACAAGATCAAAACTCCTAAATTTAGACCATGACATGTTCCAGGTGTTGGAGTTAAGGATCTCACCCACTTGGCGAAGAGGAATATCCATCGAAATGTTGAGTCAGCACTTCAAACCCACAATCATCAACCCCAAATCTAGCCGCATGCCCCTGAATGTCAACTTCGCTGTCCAACCCCCTAAGTCATTCACTCTTGAACATAGTCCCCCAAAGGGTTTAGGGTTTTGAGTTTTGGGTTTTAGCTTCTCCAACAGGTTTTCCCTTGGACTCCCAATGCCTCCTTCAAGAGTGGATCCTTTGTTTTGCGGAATGTTCGCATCCCGGAGCCAAAGACCAACAAGAAGGAACGCGGACTTGGAACTCCAATTCTTGAACCTACAAACATTTAACAGGGCTTAGGCTCTGGGGATTAGCGCTTAGGGTTTAGAACAATCTTAAACCTTAGGCCTCAGGTTTTAGGTGTAGCTCTGGCCTCTTAGCTCACACCCAGGATGCCGTAGACCCTTGAATCCACCCATCCATGAACATTAAACACATTGCAAACCCTAAGCCGTTTACCTCACCGCCCCCTTATCCCAACCCCTTGAATTCCCAGGACCACAACCTACTTGGGCCCTAAACCCTGGGGCTTAGAGTTTGAGGTGTGGAGCTTAGGGTTACTTCCAACCCCAAACTGTTAAACTCTAAAGCCTTAAGCCTTCAACCCGAAAACTTAAAACCCTAAGCCTCAAACCCGGCCCCAGACATTAAAGCCCCAAACCATACACCCTGAACCTCAAAACCCTAAAGCTCAAAACCCTGAATGATAAACCTCAAACTCTAAACACTAGACCTTAGAACCGTAAATCTTAGGCCGGCCATCAAGAACGTGGACTGGGACACCTGGTCCCCGGAGTCTGGTTCGTGTTTTTTCTTTTGGGGGGGGGGTTGGGGCTAGGGTTTAGGGAATTTAGGGTTTAGGGTTCATGTAAATCCTTCTTAGATCCGATGGAACTTGGTAACATGATATTTCTGCCTTGGGTCTGAAGGGGTCTGTAGGTTCTATGGCAGCGGTCTTCCGCCGATGCCAGAGATCCAGTGCACATTGGCCGAGAAGGTGGGTAACTATTGCTGAAGTCTGCATCGTAGTATTCCAATAGAGGCCTTGTTAGCTATAGTGTGATACAACCCCCCAAACCCCATCCCAACTATGTGGGAGCCCACATTGACGGCTGTGGCGGGGATTGATATAGAGATAGGGCTTAACGCTCAGAATTTGGGGCTTACGCTTCAGGAAGGAGGTGTGAGGAGGTTTTGGGCTTGAGGGTTCAGAGCTGTACTGTGGTATAGTAGGGTGTTGCCTTTACGGGCCTGAGGTTTATGGGCATGGTGTGTCAGAGCAAGGGATGATGGCTTTTGGTGTTGCGGGTTTTGTGGTTTATAATTATAGTCCCCCCTTAAGTAGATAGAATATGGGGTATAAGGGGATCTTGTTATAATGTACCCAGAGCCATATTCTATCTACTTAAGGGGGGACTATAGGTTAACAGGGATTGAGGTTTCGGAGTTTTTAGTTGTAAGAGTTGCCCCTGAGAAGGCACCTGTGTAGGAACCTTAAGCCCCCACCTCCTGAACCCTCAACCCTAAAGCCTGAAACCTAAACCCTAAACCCTTAACCCTAAACCCTGAACCCTAAACCATAAACCCTCAAGCCCCTAAATTACCCAAAGATGAAAGTCCTCAGCTCCGCAGTAGATGAATCCACGCAGGTTGATCTTCTCTGCTCCTCGCTTCTGGGCGGCTACGAGGGCTCCCCAGAGGACATCCAAGGCGCCAACCCCTAACACGAAATGCCAACGCCTTAGATCAGATCCCAGTCCCTAAGCCCTAATCCCTGAACTTTAAAACTTGAACTTACTGGGGGAGTTTAGGGTTTAGGGTTTGAAGGGTTGGGTGGGAGGATCTGGTGTATGAAAAAGTCTGCCTTCTTGTTTCGGGAACGTCTTGCTATTTGTAGATCTTTCGGAGTTTGCGTGTTGCAGAAGATTGCAGCTGCTACAGCATAGTAGAGGATTCAACTGGATTTGCATTTCTTTGGGGGACTGAGTCATCTTGAGTTGCAACTTTGAAGCTTTAGTAATTGAATGTTCGTGAAAGTTCGCATGAATACTTGTTCCTCCTGTGGGGCAATTCAAATTCTAGTGTAGGGGAAACCTCGTGCTCCTATCATCACTGATTATGCCCACCAAGAAAGTCCCATGTGATGACATAAAGTGTGTTCCGGCGATTAAGCGAGGGCATCAATACATAGTCCCCAAATCCGAAGCCGTTATTCTGGGGCTTGGGAAACATCAGGGGTTTGTACGCACTGTAGAGGTTTGAATGATTGGAAATAGCATTTTTTATGTCATAAATTCCGCAAACCCCGGTCTGTCAAATTACATGAAGCCCTGAAGCCCCATTGGTTTGGGTAGTTAAGGTCCTACAGGATTGAGATCATGAACCCTAAGCCCTGAACAAAAACCCAAACGAAACGTATCATTCCCTTGCATTTTGTGCTAGCCCCTCTTTCTTTTAATCTTCATCGAATCTTGAGC